GGTTAACGAAACCAAAAGTTGCAGCGCTGTCTGGTGGACAACAGGGCTCATTACAAGTCCTTGAGTGTTCGCACCTAATGAATCCATGGACACAACGTTTTCATTTGTGGCAACCCAAAGTAAACTACATCTGGATCAACTGTACTTGAAAATGCCAGAAAGACTTTTGAAACATCAGGAAAACCCAGACATGTAAATAGTAATATTGTTGCAATGCACGAAAGGGCAAATTTTATTATGTGTACAAGAGCCCATTGTCCCGGCTGTGGCTGATATCAGATGTACACACACTGTATTAAGGGCTGACTTGATTTCTGCCCAGGTTGGGGAAGAAGAGTCACCACTGAGTATGGTTTGTATCCATGAGGCCTCTTACGCTTACTGACAACGACGTTGGAGACTAACAGTAATGGGGAGAACCAACGACACTGCAGTAGGATTAGCTGAAACCTTACCATGTCTGATGCTGTTGGGAGTGGATTGGCCGTTAGAGGAGGCAACTACACACATATGTATGGAGCGAGCTAGGACCCCTTTGGGGTGGCCTGTAACTGTCCTGTCCTGTGGAATAAGGATTTGGAATAAGAAGTAAAATGGTAGGATCCCAATGGAAACCAGGCATGCTGTTTGCACAGGGTCTGATCCTTGACATTTCTCCAGCTTTTTGCAAGACAGAAGGGTACTAGTCATGTTAATCCATTTAATCCATTTTAAACAACAAGGAAAGCACTGCCCATTGTATATGTAGCAGGGCACTAAGGTGCCTGCTACTTGGAGAGGCAGGATAACTCCTCAGGTGCCGGTTGCTGAGGCAACTAGAGGGAACTAATGATCCATCCCTGCCTAGCCAGCTGACAAGAAGGGGCAGGGCCTGGCTCCTATATAAATCACAGGCAGGAGGCCAGGAGGCAGTTCCCTGCTGGCAGACAAGGAGGAAGGAGCTCAGCCTGTGTGAGCAGAGGCCTGAATGTATCAGCAGTGCAACTGGTAAAGGATGGAGCATCCTAGGGATGGCTGGATTAATGTTATAGCCAGACAGCTGGAGTTTGTGTTGTAGCCCAGGGGCTTGTGTTTGTTTGCTGGTGTTTACCGGTGGTTTGGGTAAGGCTAAGAGGGGATGGAGGAGGCCTCATAGGGGACTCACAGCAGTGTGGAGACCCCAGCACCAGTGAGGGCGCAGCATTCAGGGTACACTGACCCCAGCTCCAGAAAGGGGGCACTTGAGAAACCCCAGTGAGAGGGTGCAGCGAGAAGCCCCAGAGAGAGAGGACAGCGAGAAGCCCCAGAGAGAGAGGGGGCAGCAAGAAGCCCCAGAGAGAGAGAGGGCATGGAGAGAAAGACAGGGCGACGGAGAGCCCAAGTGCCGGAGAGGGCACAGAGAGAGAGAGATAGGGCAGTGGAGAGCCCGAGCACCAGAGAGGGTGCGGAGAGAGACCGAACAACATCAATTACATCTGCAAGGCTTGGGACATGGTACAGGGGTGGTTGGAGCCACGCATAGCCCATACGGCTTCCAATACAGGAGAGGAACTAGTGATAACAAGAGAACTGTGGACAAGAGGACAAAAGGCAGCCTTCCTATAAAATACATATGATATCAAAGTCGTGGCAGGAGAGGATTTGAGGGTGCGTGTCAGCAACTTGGCATGGTAAAGGAGGCGGCAAGGGAGAGCACAGCAACCCTGACTGCCCTCCTGTTACAGTATAAAACGGGTAAAAATTGTCAAGAACACATCTGGTCCCCAGAAATTCTGACCATAGGATGTTTCTCTAATGTAGTCAGCCATCTTAAAAATCAAAAGAGACTCAGTCCTACAAAATCCAACCCTGTTACAGAAGGTCGAAAAGGTTCAGGATACAGCTAACAGAGTCTCTATTGTCATCCAAAAATCAAAGGAGACCATCATTTCAGTAATGGAAGAAATTGAAAAAGTTAGCCATAATCATCATTGCTGGGAAACTCTGTTCAGTTGGTCACCTACTATGACCCATATCCTCAATGTGGCCTTACATCCCCTTATGGTGGTCTTTGCTCTGGGAATCCTATTATGACTCCCCCAGTGTGTGCTTGTTTGCCTTATGCAAAGGCTTTTGACCAGGTTTGAAGCTAAAGCAAGGGAAGAAGAGTTAAATCCTCTCCTCTGGAACTTCCCATAAAGTAAGTCCACACAGGACACAGTGGCCTGCTCATGAGACAACCCATGTCTCAGATGTAGTAGCAACCTGCATGCCTTGAGTCACATGTGAAAGGTCAACCAATGTTTGTGTGATGCCACCGTGTTCTGGGGCATGAAGGAGAGGAGTGTAGAGGGCAAACTGAGTTATATTAAGGCTCTTAGCCATAGTTTAGGCTTTCCTGGAAATAAGCAATAAATTGTACAGAGTTCCTTATAAGGCAGTGGGAAAAGTAAGTGCTGTGACTGGTACAGTGGGTGGATCATGTACATCAGCGTGGCGGCAAGACATGAGCTGCCAAGACCCAAGATGACCCAGAAGCGCCAGGGGGCTTATGGCCCCAAGACTTACCCACAGACAAGCCAGCAGCACACACAGGAGAAACACCAACACCGTGCTTTATCAGGCATAACAGATCCAGTTGGCTGGGTACATGGTGTGCCGCATCATAAAGATGCGCCCTCCCCTAGTACAGGGAGAGTGAGGAACAGGAAGCCTGGAAGCAGAAGAGCTGGCTCCCAATGTAGCAGACCCCAGCAGGGGTATAGGGAAGGAACCGGCTACAGTCCCTAACCCTGAAGATGCAGAGGAGTCTTACTACTCACCTGAGGGACTAAGGAAGCAAGGATCTGACTGGTCCTGGGAGCAGTGGAGCAGCGACCAGCACACGTCACCCTGCAGGAATAAAGAAGACTACTAATCGTGAGTGGTTCTGGGCGCAGAGGAAGAATTCTCTTGCAAGCCTAAAACAGTATAGTGGGTGTAAAGCCCTGATTAGTGTGTTGGAGGATAAAACCCCAGCTTGGGTGTAAGACTGTGAATACAAGTAGCCAGACAGTCCGGTGGACTGATTTTGTTTACAAGTTTTTTCATGCTTATGTTATCATTGTACCACAGATTTGGGGACTTTATGGGGTGTTAGTGACTGTAATAACCAAACAGAGACAACTCCATCAGGTTGGCATTTGGACAGGGTGCAAGGGGAGGTGGAGCCCCTAGGAACATCATTTGGCTAATTAATTATTGGCTCACAAAAGTAGGAACCTCCCCTCTCTTTATTATATTACATCAAACCTGGTGGGACTCCTCACACGACTGGAGCATAGCTATAGTGGGCTACACCCTGCATTGAAAGGACCGGGTGGGGAAGAAGGGTGGAGGCATTGCTCTCTATGTGAAAAAGCCGTACAGCTCCTTGGAGGTTGACATCGGCTCAAAAAATAGACAGCTTGAAACCCTCTGGGTCAAGTTGCAGAGGGCAGGGGGGCACAGTGAGAGAGACCTAACTGTAGGTGTATACTACAGGCCACCAAACCAGGGGGAGGAACTCGATCTGGAGTTCACCCAAGAATTAACTGAGGTCACACATGCACATGACATGGTCGTCATGGGTGATTTTAATTATCCAGACATCTCCTGAGAGGAACACTTGACCAAGCTGGATCGGTTGCGATCCTTTCTCACCTGTGTCAAGGAGCTCTTCCTGACTCAGTAGGTGCATGGGCCAACCAGAGGTGACGCTCTGCTAGACTTGGTCCTGGCCAAAGAGGTGGGGTGTTTCTTACACCCCAACTCAGCCCAGCCATAGACCACAATCAGCACCATGTGATCTGAAGCATTGGGGTGGCAGTGCACTACCAGATGCTGGGGGGTGATGCCCTGTTGGTAGTTCGGGGGGGGGTGCAGAGGCCAGCAGGGGCAATAAGGGGGGAGGAAGCAGATGGGGTGGTGGCACCTGCAGAAGTCAGGAGTTCATGGCCACAGTGATGGGACCCTGTTTGGCGATGTGGGCGGCCAGCTCTGGGGGCAGAGAGGGTTGGGGCTGAGGGGAGATGCTAACAGGCCCCCCACCAGCCAAACTTCCCTCCAGGCCACCAAGATTGCACCACCGCACAGATGCACGTACACCCACAGGAGTAGGCACACACCTGGCCCAGGCATCCCGGACACGTGCAGGTACGTGGAACCAAGGGGTCAGAGACACAAACATAACACCCACACATACAAAACCCAGGTGTCCAGGACACACACACAGAACTAAGGTATCTGGGACACACATGAATGCACCCCTCCCCCACAGCTCTTCCCCCCACCTCCCCCACACGA